TGGCATGCATAACCCTCAACCTATGGCAGCTATAAGGAAAAGAACATACCCAGCAAATGCCAGCATATCCATCTCAAATCGAAGATGTATTGACATGAAATGACCTTGTGCGCGGAGTTTATCAACTATTGACTCACTTAACTTCATAATATTTGGCTTGAACCTTAAAGCATGATAATTAACTCTACACCTCAAACGTTGATACTCAGGATTGTCAATTTCTTCAGCAAGGCCATGCGAAAAGGGAGTTAGATAAATAGCACCATGTTCCTGCATTTTCTTGAGAGCAACTGTTGTATACCAACTTATAGGAGCATCCCTAGGGGGGCGAATCTAGACAAAGTGAGAAAGAAGCAAGATCAGAAAAAGCAGAAAATTTCTACAACCTCTGAAGATAAAATTATTTAACAATTAAAGGTATCAATATTTCACCTGATGTGCTTTTATCTTCTTGGTTTTCCCATTCTTCCGAATTCCTGGTATGCTTTCCACAATTCGTACATCATACTTCAGTGTCTGGACAAAATGCTCAACATCATAGATACCTTGGAAACCACTGGAGAAATAAAGTTGGTATCAGCACATTTAATTGCAAAAGATCTACGAGAAACATAGACAAATGACCTCATTGAAGACCCATGAAAACTATTCCACGTAATATACATGTGTATCTTTCCAATTATATGTTTAGGAAGGTTAGCAGTTAATGCTCGATACAAAAGCAAAAAATACATCAAACATATTTGTAGCAAACAAATGTAGACTTTGTAAAGACACCTTCAATAGTGTTTTAATTCTAAGGAGAAGCAGCAGTAAAAAGAATCCTACAACTAACTTTAACTAGAATATATAGAAATGATGATGACTCAAGTAGACACAAACTTGCATCAACCATAGCAAGTTTAGTTAGAAGATTACCAAAAGGAGAAAGTCATCTAGATTAGAAAAAGTTAAAGCCAGGTAGAAACCAAACACACATTAATCTTCACAAGTCATGCAGAGGAAAATATCAAGTGATTCAAGTCAAAATATTTGGTTAACCTTGTTGAGCTACCAAATGCAAGAAATTAGAATCTCACTCACTACGTATGACATCCACACTGGAAGGAAAATGCCAATGACCAATTAATATCCTAAAACTCTAACCTAGAATTTCCAGCCCAATTAAGCAAGTTTTTATTCTATTTATTTAAAACCGTAGTGTTAATGATTCTGAAATTTAATTGCTTTCAGTATTAAACGGAAACCAGCTAGTTTCAGGTAAACTGAAAAGGGGACAAGACTACCTATCATCATGCCAAAAGGAGTTTGCATCCAACTCTGGCAGTACGAGCGTGGCATTCATAATTCGTGCAGCAAGAACTGCATTACAGATCTAAACCATCAAAAGAAGTAAATTTATTATTTTTATTCCAAGTACACCATTGAAGCAGTAGAACCAAAATCCAACCCTGGTTTAAACTAAGGCAATGATTCATAAGCACTTATAGGTAACGAATCCAAAAAATTTAACATAACCACTCAAGCTGGCTTGTAACCAATTTAATTTTATAGGAAGAAGCAATTGACAGAATGCATCAGACTAGAGTTCATGTAAAAATTTAGGACAAACCGCACTGCGTTGTTGATTCAGACCACCATTGCAACGAACTCGGAGATAGCCATTAGTTTCCTTTGGAGGAGCTGCCAGAATATAACAATTAGAATTCTAAGAAATTTGCATCTTCACCAAAAACAAATTCAAATAAATATGTTTTTCATTGAGAAAGTTATGAGTAGTTACGAGGCCATTCAGATCGTGGAGCAGATGATGGCCTCCAGCCACTGGACTTGGCACTTTCCCAAAGTTCTTCAACATTAATCTGAATAAACATATCAGATAAATAACGGTCAAGGATCAACTGATTAATACTGCTGACCATCCAGTAATAGTTAAAAAGGATGAGAAAAAAATCCTAATCTCTGGCTCCGCTCACACATGCAGACAGTTCAAATTAATACAAAAAATCCGCCTCAAGCCCCATTATCTAAGTACAGATATAATGGTAACCAAACTTATTAACAAATCTGGTTAAAATAACCATGTATAAAAGCAACTTACGTCTCTGAAAGCAGACAAACAACACTGCCATCCTTGCAATTAGTATAACACCATAGTGAAGAGAAAGATAATGAAATTCTACTGACGAATTTCATGTAATTATATGTAAATAAATGCATGAGTTATATAGAGATTACAAAAGCCAAATAAGAATTTCTCCGTTTATATTTAGGTCTCAACATTCTAATAAATCCATGATCATTACTGGGACCATAATAATTACATACGAGGGGACGATTCAAAAGAACATAACTGACACATTATCTAAAAATTAAAACCACTTGTCCTGGTCAAACTGTCAGCATACATACAAGGCTTTCTACCATATCTTTGGCATTGAAGGTGACATTAACGTTATTAAATACTCATTCGTCCTGTAAATCTAGCAGCCAATTATAAAAACTATGCATCTCTATAGCATTTCTAACTTTAAGTTTTAACAATCCATAAAATTCTAATTAAACTGCGGAATTAAAGCTCCGAACAATCACTAAGCAACATATCAAAATCAAATGAACACGAAGCTCAAAGTTACTCCATTTCAACTCATTAAACTTCTAAAGAATGGCTAAACTAACGAATCACAGTCATTACTGCAAGTTCAAACTCTATTATCTTTTCCCTAGCATTTTCATCAGAAGCCAACACCGAAATCCACGATGCAGAAATCTAGAGAAATCACATTCAAAACACTACTACTTACTTACCTCAGAAGGGTCGAGAGATCCGCGATTTCCACCAATTGCAGCAGAAAAGAAAAGCGAGAACGTGCAGATCAAAAGCACCACAGCAGATATCGCTAGCTTAACGTAAATTCCCTTCGATCCTCCTCCTTGCTTTCCATGCTGCCTATGCAGACCCGGCCTGCAAAAGAAAAAGGAACTTCAACAACATACATGTTTGGCTCAAATGAAAATTTTCAAGGAAAATGAAGAAGAAAATTAACTTTACCTCCTCATAACTAAGAAAGGATCAAACAGAAAAGTGATTCCAGATCTGAATGTTTTATACTTATGTTCTGATTTTTTTGGTTTGGATATGATTTGAGTGTAGTTTCGGAGAAGGAAAGGTGTAAGTGGATTTGGCGGTTGTTGGGTAAATGCGACAGTTTGTTTGATCGGCATTCGTTTAATGGGCCGGGTTTTGTTTTTACCCGTAACATTCAACCTAATGAGACAATTTATACAGGGACTGCATCGGAGCGATTTTTTCCGTCCAGATCCGATCTAATTTTATTTCCGGTAAACTACGTATTTTAGTCACTCAATTATTTTCATTATTCCTTGTTAGTTATCCAACTATATTTTTTTCAAAATCATACTTAAACTTAGATTTTTTTCCCTTTTGGTTTTCTATTGTTAAAAAATAAACAAATCTACTAACATGTCATTTTTTTAATGATGATGAGGCATTATCTTATGGTGACACGTCATTATTACTATTAATTTTTTAACGGTTAGTGAATACAATAAAAAAACATAAGTTTAGGTATAATTTTGAAGAATAAATAATTGGATGACCAAAACGAAATTATAAAAATAGTTATGTGACTAAATATTTAGTTTATCTTTTATAAAACAAAGGGTAAACATTTAAAATATTAACTTTTGTTTTATTTTCGTTCACTTAATTATCGTTTTTAAAAAGGTAGCATTTTGATTATTTACATTATCGATTTATAATGTTTGAATCATTGGGATATTAAATATAGTTAGTTTGATGATATGATATATTAAAAAAATAGGTTGATTTTTATTCTAACCTTTTAACTAGATAAAATATTATTTTAGTCTCTACAAATATTAATTTAATCCTTAAATTTAAAATAAAATATCAATTTAATCCCTAAATCTAATCAAATTCTCAATCATCCACCACCGCTCACTATTATTGCTAGTCACTACCTATGTAAAACCCTAAATTGTACCCACAAGATCCGAAGGTCTATGATCCTATGAAATATCAAATAAATAATATAACCTAATTTTAATTAGCTAAAACAATTTGCACAATTATTTTCTTTTTTCATTTTGTTGGTACATACTTGCAATGTTCAACATATAAAATGAAAGCCAAACAACCTATCAAGATTAGAAGTTCTCTTTTTAAGGATTATTTTAAAACTATATATGTAGTTCGATTAAATATATGTCTTTGTGTGTGTATATATATATATATATATATATATATATATATATATATGAAACTTTGACTTTTGGTTAGTCATGATGGTAGGACAAATAAAAGATATAAGAGTCATTTAAATCATGTATGATAACTTTTTGTTGAACGATGATATTAATTTATAGTGGTGGTAAGGTAAATCATACACCCCTTTAAATGAGTTTTTAAAATTATGTTGCTAGACAGTTTTAGTTATTATGTTTTTTTAAGTATGATTAATCTCTTAATTGCGTTGCAATGATGATTTAATCCAAATTTATTTGGAAGCAAAGTAAAGAAATGCATATATATCCTAGATTAAAAATGGGGAAATGATTTGAACATGTTAAATAACATCACAGATAAGATAAAAAGAGAATATTGATATCTTTAAAAAAAATTATTCAAACAAAAATATCTATAATGTGTGTGCGTATTGTCAGTAAATGAATAAAGTTATGAGTAGATGCTATAGTCCTTATAGTTACCGCATAATATTTTATTTAAAAAGGGTAAATGATTATGCTTAATAATATACATTAAATATTTTATCTTCAGCGTCTATAATGTAACCGATCTTAGCTCAGTTGGTAGAGCGGAGGACTGTAGTTGGTATTATCCCTCAGTTAATCCTTAGGTCGCTGGTTCGAATCCGGCAGGTCGGATTTTTTCTTTCCCAATTCAACGTTTTTATGTTATGCTTTTGCTTTTTCAAATTTTCTTTGCTAATTTCATTAGGCTTTTCCCTTCATTAGCAAAACAAACAATTAGCAGAGCGATAACCCCAATTCCAACAGCTAACAGCCACTTCAAGAAATGGTAACGACTCTGAATTTCCCCTTTTCTCCACTTCAGTCTGTTTGGTTGCCTAGAAAGTGAACAAATATTGATATTTACGTTACAGATCAGTTGTAGATCAAGTGCTTTACGTTCGTCTTTTCTTATTGAAGGAAAGAAACAATTTTTCTTTCTTTTCGCCTCTGTCACCCTTCCAATTTTTAAATTTGTTTGGATCCAATTGCTTGATTTCTCGCTTATTTCAGCTTCTTTTAATAACAAAATTGTTATTTCTTTGATAGATTCTGTATTTCATCGCAAATGCTTAATGCATTCTTTAGTAATTCTTCTTATTGATTTAAACTAAAAAAATTAGGCAAGCCCGTTGAAGCTCTATTTAACTTGCGTAAGGAACACTCTCGAGGCTGCTATGTGTCTCCAGGTATGCAAATGAAGTTCATAAGTTTACTGTAAAGTAATTGCACCAGAGTATCGATAGAGATGTGATGCCTGAAATTTATGTTCTTAATTTTTATGAATGGATGTTGTTACTTTTGTCTGATTGAATTTGGATCTTGTATTTTACTATCTGTGATTGTTAGAATGACTTGGAAAAGGAAGTTTAACCATCAGCTTTTTGTTTGACATAATGCTTATAGATTAAGAGCTGGGGATATAACATAACTAGATGGGAATGGTTAGAAATGGATGATTTTTGGCATATTTCCAAGTTTTAGATAATAAAATGATGTATAAATCTGATTGCTACCAATGACTTATGTGGTTCCTGGGGAGCTCTTTTGATTCACAACTTCAAGTCCTTCTGAAGGTGGATAATGAATAGAGGAAGATGCTTTTCCTCCAATTTTAAATTCATGTATGCAATTTCTACATCTTCGCAAAATTTAAACAACTCCAACCTATATTTTTTAGTTCTAGATTATTTCTGGTTTAAATTTGAAAATCTCTTTGTTTTTATGGTAATTTTGGATAATCCTTTTATGCCCACTCAGATACTTTATCTGTACTCTAGTTACGTGTTAAAGACGTATCACGTACCATGGTGTTAAAGACGTATCTCAATTAAATGTGTTGGATTAGCAAAGCCTTAGTTTGTCAAATTTTCTTTCTTCGTGATATATGTGCTTAATTCAGTCTTGCTCTCTTATTTACATGTTGGTTGCAGAATTTTCCTTGTCAAGAAGTTGAGAGGCATAATAAGCCAGAAGTTGAACTAAAGTATGTATATTGATTTCACGTTCATCTTCATTTTCTTGTTTTAGAATTTGACATTTTTTACTGGATAAAGTTGAATGAAAAGAGAGTGCTCAAAGTAATAACAAGGTGTAGAAAATTTAATAATAAATGCTAATAGGTGTTGCTTCATGCATTGCTTTTTTTGTTGTGTGTGTGGAATTATTTTATCATTCTGTAATGATCTTGCTACTTATCATATGCTGATCATAGACCAGTGTTAACTGATTTACTTTTTAGTAATGCTCTTACATTTAATTGGCAAATTCCTCCCCGATTGTCAAGGTTGTTTAAATTTACTATTCGTAGAATTTTACCCTCTTTCCTAAATACAACTAATGCCATGGAGTGGGAGCTCCACTTAATTTGTATTCGTTCAAGCTAAATAAGTTATTTGGTCCTTTTGGAATGGTTCTGTTTCTGAGATGTAGACATTGTTTCAAGCGTTGGAGGCCATTCATGTATGCAAGCCTTTTATCATGTTGTTTTGTTCTCGGGATTTTCCTATCCCATCTTTTTATTTTGATTGCTGTGCTCTCTCCCCTCCCCAAGACACTGACCTATTCTGAAAATTCTAGTCCTGGAGGCCATTCATGTATGCACCTTTATCTAGCAAGTTAATAGTTACCACTTTTCTTTGTTTCTTTATTTTACTAGATATTTTAATCATTTTAAGCTTTTTGTCTGTTTGTTCATGCATTTTTAGTAGTAATTCATATGATACTATCTCCATATGGCCAATTTTCTAGTGCAACGAATGGTACCTCAGAAGAAATTCAGCGAAAAATTTTATAATTTGATTGTATTAATTTTTTCATATTGACCAACAATCAAAGTGGAAGTCTTATCTCCCCAATCTAACCGTGAAAGCTTTCATGTTCTGCACTGCAGTATTCTACACTTCTGGGCAAACTTTTTATGGTTTTCCTTTTTATATTTTGCAGGACAAGCCCAGAACTTCTGCTAAATCCTGTAAGAGCCATCTTCTTGACTCAAGACATAGGCAGATAATTCCTTGTTTCCATTTTAGCTTAATTTATTACACATATATACGCAAAACACACACACACTGAAGAACGGCCAAATTGAAATTTATACCTTATTGGTTTTTTATTTTAATTCTTTGCTCATCTTTAGTCCAAATTGTCCTCTCTTTTTTTCCATTTGCTTTTGCTTTATAGCAAATGAACAATTTAAGGAAGCAAAAACAAACAATATAAAGCAAGTAGCCAAAACAACTATGAAATGGAGCCTAACTTTGTGTTTTCTGCATTTTCGCTTTTGAGTTTTCAGGCGAACAAGAATCCGCCTAGTATGGGTTTCGTGTTTTTTATATTAATCGCTTAATATTTGTATGTACCTTTAACATGTTTTTGAGCTTGAACTGGAGGGATGAAAATGTAAATTGGACAAATTAAGGCTGAATTTCACCTTTCTTGAAATTATGAAGCCATAGGGGTTTAAATTACTAAATCAAGGGGTATGCTACAAGTCTGCCTCCACACTTGACATATTCCATCTCTCAACTATCAATGCCCTGCACCTTTAGTCCTGCAATGTAATGATGAGGAATAACATCAACATGCATGCATCCAGTAGAAACGAATTTATGTGATTTAATTGGTGGAGCTAGAAAATGACTAGTTATTTGTTCAATTCTCCCCTGTCAAACTTTCTTTTACTCCACTGGTTTTGATCTTTTTAATATGCCCATTTGCAATTGCAGGTTTTGATATGTCGAAATGAGGCCGAAAAATGCTTAATAGAAACATCTATCAATTCACTACGGATAAGCCTCAAGGTGAAAAAAATAATCTTTCCCTGGATGTTTCTTTTTCCTGGTAGTAGTAATTACTGTAAAGAGGGTCTGAATGTTTTTCCTGCTTTTGGATTAAATAGAAAGCACCACATGCATGATGTCTTCTTCTATTTAAATCTGTTGGATTCAAGATAAATAAAATAACCATTCTCGTGCAAGTTTATTCTTAACTAGTATCAGGATAAATTTTGCAAATTTTCTCCCATTTTGTTATTATATATATACTCTCTCTTCTTGTATAGGTAAAACAAGCCGATGAACTTGAAAATATTCTAGCTAAAAAGTTCCTTAGATTTTTGTCAATGAGGGCAGAAGCATTTCAAGTTTTGAGAAGAAAACCAGTTCAGGTACGTACATTTTGATCTCTAGTTGAAACTCGATTGCCTTCAAAATTATTTTGCTTGACAACTTGATTTGATTAAACAACCAACTTGCCTTGAGGAATGATTATGTGTACATTGTGCAAAAGCAATCATGACAATCACTATATCTTGCCACTTGTGGTAAAGACTTTTAATACTTTCCTTTTAATGCACTCTAACTTCTTAAACCTGTTTAGCATATATGTCTATATTTCTTGATAATCTTATTATATATCCGTTTCAGCAATGATATTGACTACACGTGGCTCTTAAAATTTGATTTCAGTCATGATAGCCGCCTTATGTATAACTCGATTTCCTTTTCTTTACTATTGTTTTGGTACTTATTTCTGGAAACACCCTATCTTCAATTATAATTCACATTTACAAATCGAACAAAATAGCGAGCAGAGAAACATCATGATAAATTGTCTGTCATAATGTAATTCCTTCTTTCACCTTTGCTCAAGTCATAAATAATAAGTTAGTAAATCATGTTGGATTATGATACAGGTTTATCGTAAATGTAATCCAAAAATTTATTGTCTTCATGGTGAAATGCTTGCGAAATTTCTGGATGATTTTATTCAATTGTTTGCTTCATGAAGCAGGGTTATGACATCAGTTTCCTTATCACAAACTATCACTGTGAAGAGATGCAGAAACAAAAGCTCATCGATTTTATCGTGCAATTCATGGAGGTAAGAATTTTCTTAACCCTTCTCCATTATCTTTTTCTTTCAATCATAGAATGTGGATCTCTATTTAATCTTACGTAATCAAATTTTAAGAAATATTGATAAATTCATGGAAAATAAAGAATTAGAGCTCATAGATTCCAGCTCCGTGCCTGATTTTGCTAAGAAGGATTTGAAATGAACAAGTTCTTGGCCTATCACTATCAAAATTCTATCTTTTGTCTGGTAGATAATGTCGATAATTTTTCTCTTTTCTTCGAAATCTCAGGATATCGATAAAGAGATAAATGAATTGAAAATGTCAGTAAGTACGCGAGGGAGGTTGGTGGCAACGGAGTTTTTAAAGCAGTTTCTTTAACTTCTTCACTATTGGTGATCCTTTAGATCAGTAGCCATTGTTAGGTATACTTGATCAAACAAAGAATTCTCTTCCTTTTATATGTACTTATGTTCATATATTGTGTGTACTCTGATAATAGACTTGGGGATAGCATCTGGCTAAGTTTTAACCATATATAAATATTGTGTGTAAAAAGTTAAAAACATAACATTATTAAAAAGGTTTACACCACCAACTACTAGTTGGTCTAGCATATGATACGTTAGATTTAGAGTTGAATTACTGGAGTTTGAATTACTGGAATTTGAATTACTGGAAAATGAATTACTGGAATTTGAATTCTGGAAAATGAATTACATTTCTGGAAAATGAATTACATTTCTGGAAAACATTTGAAAAACGTTTTATGATGTTTGGAAGATGTTATTTAAACATTTTTTTCACTAGTTGAAGAGTTTTTTAAAAATTATTTATTATAAATATTAAATATAATAAATAATATTATTTAAACATTATTTATTAAAGTAATAATGCTATATTATATTTTAAAAATATTAATTAGTATATTTTAAATATCTTTACTAAAATATTATTGAAATATATAAATAATATTATTCATTATTAAATATATAAAAAATTTATTATATATTATTAAAATAAAATAAAATATCTTATATTATTATAATATAATTGATTATTTTATATAATATTAAAAATATAATATAATATTATTATAAATATTAATAAATATATTTTAAATATTTTAATAATTAATATTTTGATGAAAATGATATTAAAATATTTTATTAATATTAAATTCATAAAATAAAATTATTTTGAGTATTTTTGCTTTGAAGTGAAAAGTTCGAAAAATGACTTACGGAAAATGAATCCGTAAGTCATTTTACAGAAAACACAAAGGAAATCCTGTTACTAGGTAAATGAATTATATTCCGGAAAACGAATTACGTGAAACAAACACGGGAAAACGTTTTCCGGAAAACGAATTACGTGAAACAAACACGGGAAAACATTTTCCGGAAAACGAATTACGTGAAACAAACACTGAAATTCGGAAAAAATCAATTCCGTAATTCGAATTACGGGAAACAAACAGACCCTAAAATTAAGTTCGAAGGGTCACTTTCATAGTAGATTTTTACATTAATTAATCCATATTAGTTGATCAATAAATAAGATAATTAAAAATGATATGATCAATCATCACACTACCCTCATGATTTGACATGTCAAATTTTAATCGACTTTAAGAAATTGAGCCCCTGCGGTGTGTTAATGTCTCCCGCAGGCCATGGTGAATTGGAACGTTGCTTTTGAAATTTATGACCTTTGTAGAGAATTTAGAACCTTGAGGGTTTGTTGTTGTTGATGTTGTTGTATCTAGCTTGACGAGGAGCGTTGTGTAATATGCAATTATTTGAATATAGGGTCTGTTTGTTTGGCTGTAATTGGTTTTTCGGAAAATGAATTATTGGAGTTTGAATTACTGGAATTTGAATTACTGAAAATGAATTACTGGAATTTGAATTCTGGAAAATGAATTACATTTCTGGAAAAGAATTACATTTATGGAAAACATCTGAAAAACGTTTTATGATGTTTGGAAAATATTATTTAAACATTTTTTTCACTAGTTGAAGAGTTTTAAAAAATTATTTATTATAAATATTAAATATAATAAATAATATTATTTAAACATTATTTATTAAAGTAATAATGCTATATTATATTTTAAAAATATTAATTAGTATATTTTAAATATCTTTACTAAAATATTATTGAAATATATAATAATATTATTCATTATTAAATATATAAAAAATTTTTATATATTATTAAAATAAAATAAATATCTTATATTATTATAATATAATTGATTATTTATATAATATTAAAAATATAATATAATATTATTATAAATATTAATAAATATATTTTAAATATTTAATAATTAATATTTTGATGAAAATGATATTAAATATTTTATTAATATTAAATTCATAAAATAAAATTATTTTGAGTATTTTTGCTTTGAAGTGAAAAGTTCGAAAAATGACTTACGGAAAATGAATCCGTAAGTCATTTTACAGAAAATACAAAGGAAATCCTGTTACTAAGAAAATGAATTACATTCCGGAAAACGAATTACGTGAAACAAACACGGGAAAACGTTTTCCGGAAAACGAATTACGTGAAACAAACACGGGAAAACATTTTTCGGAAAACGAATTACGTGAAACAAACACTGGTTTTCCGTAATTCGTTTTCCGTAATTCTAATTGAACTTGAAACTAAAGTTGAGTGATAACAACAAGATAAAACTTAAAATTAAATTACATTTGATGTATTTTATCTAAATTGTTTAATTGCATCAGTTGACGATCAACATGGACGAAGCTAGGATCACATATTGAGGGGACAAAATTATTTTATATAAAAAAAGTAAGGATCTATTAAGTATTTAAATCTAAAAATTGAGAAGAACAAAAGTTTCATTTAATTAATATTAAAATTTTAAAAAATTACAAATACTATTATACTAAAAATTTTGGGAATTACAACAATCCTCACTCTTCCCCCCAACAAGTCTATATGTAGATTCGTCTGATGACCAATAAAGGATATTAGCAATTGATATATTAAAAATGTTATTTAATTGTTCTAAAATTTTGAAATAAAGTTATTACTATAATTTTATTATTAAAGTATAATTATAAATGTCACATCATGTCGAAGCATTATATATAAATTTGTTTTCCATTAAATATTTGGTCACGATGGAACAACAATGTTAGCTTTTGCAGGGTTAGCCACCAACGAAAGCCCCCACCATATTCATCTTCTGCGTGATTTTACGTTCATTGTTTGATATGTTGAAAGCAAAGTATCAAAACTCATTGTAAAATAATTTCCATCAACTTTCGATTGGTTTGATTAAATATGACGTTAAATCTTTTAAATGATATTAAAGATATAAATTTTAGTATTGTAAATAGAATAAATTAAATTAGAATATTATTTTAACATTTTAATTTTTATAACATTCAGATAATTAATCGATTAATAAATAGAACCTAAATTATTATAAAATATAATTTTCAAAAAATGGTTAACCAAATTTTCAGTCAATTCAATTGTAAAACCGATCGAATTGAGTCTAATCTAAAAATTTTAAACACGATAAAACAAAGCAATAATTAGTATAATAGGTATATTTATTAGTTTATATATTTTTATTTAAAAAATAATAACAAACTAAATAATAGTGAATCAAAGTTGATTTATTAGTGTTTATATATTTATTTCAAATTGAATCGCTTCAAACAAATTTAGTCGGTTTCTATCGAATTCGTTCATGCCAATGAATTGGTCCATTTAATATAAGAGATATAATTTGAAATTTTGAATCAGTCCTTATAATAGAGGGACTAAATTGATTTGTTTAACAATTGAAAGACCAAACCGGTGATTTCCCCAAGGAAAGACCTGGTGTATTTCAACTGCATTAACTTTCATTTTATTATCACATTTTAGTGAAATACAACTCATTGGGAGCTTTTCTTCTTCTTCTTCTTTTCAAAAGACATTGGGATCCGATGCTTTATGATAATGGTGGAATGGGAATAAATATCCCAAATTCTAACCTTAACATAAGTTACATGCCAACTGTTAAACCAAGGCTTTTCTTTTTCTTCTTTATTTTATTCAATTAAAAAATTAAATAAAATTATATCCATATATGTTTGATTTATACAACAATTATATTTGTGATATTTCTATAGAAAAAGTAAAGTTTGTATACCATAGATAGGGGTGAAGCCAGAAATTTCATATAGGAGGATCGAGATGAAATTAATTTTTTTCTGGAAGGACTAAATCTAAATTGTTTTATATTATGGAGACTCATACTGAAATTATTAATTTTGTAGAAGGTCCCACCAAGAAATTCATTTTTTTAACAAAACAACTAAAACACATATATAATTTCATCCATTTTCTATAGTAGGGACAGATGTATGATTCAATGTTAGGGATTAATTTATAAATTTTTAGGAGTGTCAAATTTACAAAATTTTGAAGGGACGAAAACGGATTAGCAATAAAAAATATAAATAAAATATCTAAAATAGATAAAAATTAAAATTTTCAAGAGTACGACTGCTCCCACTCATCCTCCTTTTGTCCATCTATGATTAGATGATCAGTGTCGTTAAAGATTAAGTTAAACAAATTTAATATTTTAAAATTTTGTTCGGATTATGGCATCTATATTAGGTTAAATGTTTGGTATATTAACAATAACATATAATAATTTTATGCATTATCAGTTACCATATAATTTTATATCATTAAAAAAATAAAATTAAATAATTTTTTAAAATTTCTATCTCCAATTATTCAGCAAAACAATTTAGACGGAGCCTTGCATTACTTTCTCGTGCTAAAATTTAAAGGAAAAAAGTTGATTAGTTAAAATAGATAAATAATAAAAAGGGAGGGGTTGTTTAGAGAAATGTGCTTTAATATCAATTCTTACTACACAACCACCAACTTTATGAACTTTCATGACCCATAAAATCATAGTTTCTAAACTGAATTTTGTAATGCAGATTATTGTAAATCATGATCCAATATTATCATCAAAAAACTATTTCTATATAGGGAAATTATTTATACACATTTACGATATACATTCCAATTTACACATGATGTATTTCAGAATTATAAATTTATTTATGGTTTAGGGGTTTAAAATATTGAATTAGGAATGAGTATGAGATTCGGATCTTATGAATTTCAACTTGATTTTGCAAGGATTTTTTTTTTGAAAATCAAGTTTAGGTCAGGTTTAGAGTGAAAATCTCCAATTTTTGAGATAATAATATAATTATCTCTTATATTTAGATAGATAATTGCAACAATACCTATCTATTTGTATTTTTTTTCAATTAGATCTCTATTTTACTTAATAAAAATGATAATTTTATATTTATGTGTGTATACGGTCGGGTGTGAGTACAAATTTTTACCCCCTAAAATTAGGTCGGATAAAGTCTCTCTAAACCTGAGTCAAGTCGACTGACAAATGGAGTGATATATTCTCATATAGAATTTAAGTTGATCAAAATCATGCTTACCTTACTCATTCCTATCTCTATTTAGAGTTTATGATTTAAGTTTAATGTTTTAGTTCACAGTTCACTTTTTATTTCGTTTTAAAGGGTAAAATACAGTAAAAATCAATTACATATGTAGAAATGATCATTTTGGTTAAGGATCTTTCAAATGTTACAAAATAATCATTTACCTTTTAAAACAATTACAAAATGGTCTTTAACCTTATTCAACTGCTACAAAATGGTCCTAAAACTTTTTAAAATTATTGATATTTTAACGTTGCAAAAGACTATTTTATAACTATTTAAAAAATTCAATGAATTTTGTAACTATTTAGAAAGTTTAATAATTATTTTGTAATATATGAAAGGTCGCTTAAAAAATTATTTTTACACAATTCAACAAACTTTAGTGGAAAGAGATATTGATACCACCAACATTAATCCTAAGTATGAAATTTGGGGTGTGTATATATATAACTTGGGAGGCCATTTAATGTTTTTTTTCACTTTGAAATTTTAAACATAATGTATATGAAATTGTGGGGTAAAAATGATAGAAATTTGGAACATATGCTTCTTTTATGTATATATAAATGTGGTCCTTGTGAATCTTATTCCAACCAACACGCTTTAATCTTTTAAGTATATATAAATGTGATTTTTTAAGAAAGAAAAATGAAATTTTAGAATCGTATTAAATATTATTTATTTCTGTAATTAAATTAAATTATACCAAAATTAAGGTCAAATTATATTTTTATTATGTTAAGTCGAGATCAGACAAATAAAATTTCGTCCCACCTCGCCCATTAATATCCCTATTCCCGATATTATACAAAATATTTTTGGTGTTATTTTCAACTATATCCTAAATGTACTAGAAAAAAGGGATGGGACTTAGAAAATGAAAACAAAAGTGGCTTAAGCTGTCGTTTTCTGTAAGTTAATTTATCAATAAGACGTTACATTGCATCCAATGTAAGTATGTACGTGTGAGCATAATTAAGAATGGTGGTAGATTTTGATAGTGCATTGATTAATGGTCCCCTAACAAGGCATCACAAAATAATTTATTTTTCTTCACTTGAATCCAAAAAGTTAATTTCATACCAACCTCAAATGATAAAGTTAGTATTAGATCAAGAGTTATTCAACTAAAAGTTCACACCTTTTATTTATTAGTATGAAATAATTATAAGGTCGTATTTGCTTAATATTTTCTTTAGTCATGAATAATGCATACACATTCTACAAACGCAACGTAACTGCTTGAATTCAAGTTTTTATTTTAGGAAAACAATATTTTCCACATAATATTCTTTTTTTAATAATTTAAGGTAATTATAAGGCGGTATAAATTCAAAAATTTCTTAATCTCTGACAACGCACACACCTTACAGACATGATTGCTTGAACTCATGATCTTAATAGATAACAATTAACCACTAAGCTCACATGATGAATTCTACCTCCACAAAATAATTTATTTGCTCACATTGCAAGTAATTGGAACACCTTCCCTCAACTTGGGATTCAAACCCAAAACCACCATGAATAATACTAGGGTCCGTAAGATTATAATTGTTACTACTTTCAGAATTTGCACATCCTAAAAGAGATACGTGACCAAAAAAAATGATAATGATAATGGGAGAATTGAACGAGTTAAAGGCATTTGCACATCCTAAAAGAGATACGTGACCAAAAAAATGATAATGATAATGGGAGAATTGAACGAGTTAAAGGCTGCCTAAGATTCAAATGATAATTTGATCTCGAAAGAGAGAAGCCTTTTAGCCTCTCACTCATTACTTCTATCATATCTTGCTAATTTTAAACTATCGAAAGAAGTATATGGTGACATTAGAGATCCCATGTAGGGATGGACCTAGACGGAGGTGGCCCTTTTTAAAATATTTAAATCTTTTACCAATAAAATTATTCTTAAATGTGAAAATATTTTTTTAAAGTAATACAAGAGTCGTATGAATCCCTCTAAAATTATATTTTAAGATTAACTCGAGCTACTCATAATATTCAGATATTGAAATGTGAACTAGCTATTATCATCTCTCTCGAGTTTAACACGAGCACTTATATAATATTGTAACCATAAAATCACATATAATTATACTTATATGTACATCTAACTACATGACATGTGTCTAAAGTTCCCCTTAATAATAACTAAAAATAAATTGGAAAATTTGAAATTCAAAATTTGAGATCATTACCATCATTATGGTTATTGACTTGAAAATTAAAAAGGAAAAAGAAAACACACGATGGTGGGTGGCTTCCACCGCCATTATCCCATTGTAAACTTCGCACTATTACTCGTACTCCATATAACAAATTTTATTTTATTTTATTGGACCAAGTATAATCTTTGAAAATAATATATATATAAATAAAAGAGTACATGTAAATGAATCGTACAAATATAATTAATTTCATTAATTTAGTATATAAATAAATTTATATTTATAATTAATATGTTCATACAATTACGATTATAATATATATATTCTAAAGTAAAAATAAATATATTGATAACGAGAATATACCTATATTTATATAAAAATAAATCTATACATGACTCCTAATTAATATATAAAACACTTATTTTAATGCTTCTAATAAATACGGTCTTCCACGGTTTGAAAAATTAATATATAAAACACTTATTTTTTAATTTTAAAGATATAATATTACTTTAAGATGAGTTAATTACATGAAACATCCTCAAATTATGACTTATTTTAAATTGATGCTCAAACACTAAAATATTCTAATTTTATTCCAAAATTATGACTCTTTTCTAAATTAGTTTTCAAAATTTTATACATTCAAATCTAATCTCCAAACTATAATCCTCATTCTAAATTGGTCGAAAAACTTTTGAAGCATCTAATTTCATCCTTAAATACATTCAAATATGTAATTAGTTTCAACCATAATGTAACTTAATTTTTTTCCAAACATATAATAATATAGCTTGGTCTAACGGTTTTATTAACAAGGGATGTGAGTAGCATATACCGATAATTTGGGATGAAAATAAAATGTTTTAAAGTTTATAGATTAATTTAAAATAAAAATTATAAATTGAGAATAAAATTAGAATTTTAAAATTTTGAAAACTAATTTAGAAAGAGTCATAAATTATGACATCAATATACACATATCGTTACATCAATTTTGGTTTTTTTGTACAAATCTCAGCCTCCCATTTCCCCATCAATGGTCTTTTAAGTTTTCCATTATAGATGGCAGATAAAAGGGGACACCAAATGACCGACATTGATCATTTCTAAAGATAAATATAGAATAATTATATATATATATATATATATTAAATATTTTTAATATTAATATATAATTTGCATTCGAATAAATCTAAATATATATATATATATTCAATTTTATTAGATAAAATATTTAATTAAAAACAAAGTAAAAAAATATTATTGTAACTATCTTAAATGTATAAATAATAATTATAATATTATATCAAATTCTAAATTGTTATCCTGAATTTAAACCTGATCTGATCATACTTTAAAAACATAATCCGATTTAAATCTGATTTTTCGAAATAAAAAAAAATCCACCTAACCAAATTTAGTCCGGATAAAATGGCACCCCTAAGTATAGTTAACAATATAAAAATATTTTAAATTTAATATTCTAAATTTTATATTAATAAAACACCATATTGCACAGATTGAATTTTTCAATAATGTAGTCGGAAAAAAATAATTCCTTGAATAATGTATGGGTATGGAAATTAACAGAGTAACAGAGAATCCAACAGTGACCGACGATGTTTCAATGCTGCAGAAATAATTCGACTTGTGATTAAATTTGGATATTCAAAACCCAAATTAATTTTAAATTTGGATAATGATTTTAAAATATTTTCATTAAAATTTTTGTTTTGAGTTTTGTATTAATAATATCACATATTTAAACTCATTATCCAAATAAAATATGTAAATTCAAATTCAGTATTTTATAAATTATAAACATTTTATCTAAATATGTCCAAATGTATAGATAATTTTTTTAAATTCGGGTTTGAAATAATTTCGTTTATCTGAATTATTATTTATCAGTAAATTTGTTATACGAGTTTAATCATATCATTTTTAAAGTAATATTTTTTTATATTTTCAATAATACAATAAGTGAATTCGATTTAAAAAGCTATAATTAAGAAAATTATTTATAGAAATAAATAAAAATTATTTTTAATTATTTTTAATAATAAATCAAGTTATTATATTTAATTTTTCTCTTTTTTTTAAATAAATAATTTTATATTCAAAAGAACAGGAAAGGAAACTGCTTCAACTATCACGTCTTCTGTTCCCAACTATTGACGACTTCCTTTGTATTTGGCCAACTATACTTGTAATGTTAAATTTTTTTTCTAGGGTAATTTATTGTACAACAGTATTATCTTAAATATTTTTTTAAATAAGTTTATTATACGATAATTTTAACATACGATTATATAGATATATTATCAAAAATATTAAAGCTGCCATATTTAAACATCTGCTTCTCTTTCTCTTCCACTTTCATTTTTTTTCATTTTCCTCTCTTTTTAAGCTTCTCTGCTCTTTCTTTGTTTCTTTGTTTTCACTTTATTTTCCAGTCTATAATGCCTGCCCATTCCAGTTTTCTTTCTAAAAAAATCAAGGGTCGGTGCACCCACAGTTTCTCCTTCTTTTCTCTCTTCGATTATTGTTATTTCTTATATTTCAGTTTTTTCCTGACTTTTTTTTACTTTTTTGTTTGTTTCTGGGAAAGCTTGGTGCTAGTTGCTAGCTTTTGATGTTGAAGTGGAAATTTCTGATTTGATTTGTTTTCCATCGGGTTTTTCAACAAGAATACTGGTTTTGGTGTTCATGGAAAGCTTGGTTCTTGGCTGCTATCAATGGAAGAAGAGAAGATTTGTTTGTTTCAAGTAGATTGAGATATGGCATTCGAGGGGAGTTTTTTTTTTTTTTTGGAAATGACAAAAAAGTGAAACTACCCAGTTTTTGAAGCACTGCAAGTATGTTAATTGTACAAAAATAGTATGATTCTGGCCTTTTTTATCCATGGAAATTCAGCTTTATGCCATGCAGAAAGGCACAGTCTTCAAGGAGTTCACTCTGTCAAAGGCTTTGATCACTTCCCCAAGCTGACGATTCTTCATGTATTTTTGTTGATCTCAAGAGCTCATCAATCTGTAATCTTCAAATTCAATTGATCTTTCCTTTGAACTGAAGATCCAAGAAAAAAGGTCCCTTGGTGAAGAATTTGAGGCAAAAAGAAAGGTAGTTCAATGATACCTTGGCATCCAAAGAAGCTTTTGCCCTTTGAAGCTTGTGGTTTGCTCTGCTTGGTGAAACTTGAGTCATTGAAATTGGAATATTTTTAAACCTTTTTATGGGAACATATCAGCTGCATCTTCTGTGACTCTTACTCTCACCTGGTTCTTTCTGGTTTTGGGGTCCTTTTCTTCCTCCTTCTCTTTTCCAGTTTCTTGTAGAGCAATCATATGATGCAAGAGATAATTTCTGTTTATTTGTTGTATGTTTTAATTGTTTCACTTGTTGTTCATCTGTTGTGAATGATAAATGTTTATGCAATTTCTTGAAATCTGTCATTGTTGATTTACATTTCTGGTTTGAATATATAGCAAACTCTATGATTGTCTCCCTTGTTCTTATGTTGTACTAATTTATGAACTTAAGTGCTGAAAACTTGAGAAATTGTATCTCTTTGTTATGTCCTAACTGTTGATTCTCTGTTTATTAGATTCGGAGTCAAAAAATTTCCGATCCGGGAGCATCATAATCTCATATAAGGACTGCATTTATCATGGGAAAAAAATCGAATAGACGCCCTGTTCGATATGAAAAGGGTCAATTGGGCTGTATGTGGGGATTGATCACTATGTTCGATTTCCGCCATGGTCGAACGACTCAGAGACTGCTTTCCGATCGAAGGCGTGGGAATAGTGATGCGATTGGTAAGCATTTTTCACTGCAAGTGAATTTTTACTTTGTTACAAGTTGCAGAAGTGACTTATAAATGGCCTTTCGCATTGTCCTAGTGGCATTAAGAGATCATTTGGTTTGTTTGGATATTGGTATCTGTCCGACACCACTATGTACATCGGTTCTAAGAACTCTTAGTGTTGCAGGTATAGGAAGTTCAGCTAGTCTGGTTGAAGAGAAGGCAATGGCAATGGATACATGTAAACCAAGCGTGAAGAAACTCCTAGAAGAAGAAATGTCGAGAGAGCAAGTTGCTAATATAGAGGTAAACAATACTGAACATGAAGCGAAAGAGTTCGGTTCGGGGGAAGGAGACAACGGAAGGAAGAATCGGAACAGAAGAAGCAAAACTCACAAGAAAAGCTACGGTAACAGTCCTGATGTCAATGCAGCCAAGAACTTGGTATTGGAAGTATCATGTCAGCATAAATTTGAGCAACAAACACCAAGCAGTCTTGATGTAGACAATCTTGTAGAGGAGTTTCGTCATGATCTGCCTGCCGAACCGAATAATTCCAGTTTTGAAGAAAGATTGAGTGAGGTTATCAAGTTCTTAGTGAGTCAGAAGCTTATCAACAGGAACCAACTTATGGAAGGTGGGGAACTCCAAGCCTCTAAAGAAGTCATGGATGCACTTCAAGTTTTGAGTTTAGATGAGGAATTGTTTCTGAAGCTTCTACGAGATCCGAATTCGTTGTTGGTGAAATATGTTAAAGACTTGCCTGACGATCGGGATGGAGAGTCGAAGCCTCTTGTTGGATCCAACTTCTCAGAGCAGGTGCCTGTTGGTTCAAGACAATCGAATGAACCTGTTAATAGAAAACAACGGAATTTCTTTAGAAGAAGATCCAAGTCTAAGGAAAGAGACTTGTCGGACGGAAATAAGATTCCCGAAGCTTCAACTAGAATTGTTGTTTTGAAGCCTGGAGCGACATGCTCGCAAACGCCTGAAACCGGTAGCAGCCGAGGCTCATCACCAGATCCTAAGCACATCATCAGACATAGAGAGCCCCACTTTTTTCTGGCTGAAATAAAAAGAAAGTGGAAGCATGCTATGGGAAGAGAGCAACGTAGAATCCCCACCAATGAAATATCCAAAAGAGTTTCAGGCGAGCTGAAAAATTCGGGGGACGCCGGAGGGTTCAAGGAATATATCACAATGAATTCTCCAACTAAAGACCATTTCTTTATTGAAAGAGTTGCCAAACCTTCCACTGGTGCCAAAAGAGGAGAAAGGATCAGCAAGCTAAAGGGCTCGGAAACGAGTACTGATGGTGAGACTAACTTCTCCAGGCATTCGAACATCTATATCGAGGCAAAGAAACATCTCTCCGTGATGCTAACAGATGGTGATGACAATGTGGATCTTTCAAGCAGACAAGTTCCGAAAACCTTGGGGAGGATTCTTTCTCTCCCTGATTATAACTCTTCCCCTGTTGGCAGCCCTAGGTGGAGCTCGGAGCCTAGTTTTATAACTACACAGATGAGATTTGCTGGCTCTGATGAACTCGACAATGTCAGCCATCCACGTCGAGCAGCGGAGGAACATCCGAGCCGGCTTTGCGTTTCTGATAACAAAACCGGTGATGAAATCGAAGGTGATAATATCTTTTCGGATAAACTCAATGCTTTTGTGAATGATGACAAAGTGGATCAAGGTGATTGTTCTATCAAAGATGAAACGAGTTCTGTAGGTATTATCGTTCAGGAAGAAACTAAGCTCTTGGATGCTTCTTCAAAGACTTCCATTACAACAGATGACAAAATTGTTGATGTATCTGAAGTTTATGATGAAAAACAATATCCACATTGCTTGAAACAGGTAGATATATATATACACACACACACTGAAATAAGTATGCATTGTATATATTTTATCTCATCCGCAGTTATTTCCGTTTTTTTCCCCGCATCTCCAGGAGTTATTTGAAGAGGACCAACAGTCATTTTCTCCATTAGCGTCTCCATCGAACTCATCAGTCACCAAAAAGGTTGAAGGTCTAGAGAGTGTTAGTGATTTACAGGAGCGGCCGAGTCCTGTATCTGTTCTTGAGCCGATATTCATAGACGATGTTATCAGCCCTGCTAGCATCAGATCTATTTCTGGTAGACATATGAAAAAAACCTTTTGGTTTTTCTTTTTCATATTCTGCATTTGTTTTTAACTTTGCGGTGCTAAATTTCGAATAATGCCCATTTTTGCACTATTCTTCAGGTGAAACATCCATACAACCGCTAAGAATTCGATTCGAAGAACATGGTTCTTCAGCAAATCACAGTGGTGGTTTTAAAACTTGTATGGATGATAAGGAATCAATACTTAAGCACATAAAGGCTGTGCTACAGGCTTCGAGTTTCGACTGGGATGAACTCTACATCAGGTCACTCTCTTCGGACCAGCTTCTCGACCCTTTGTTGCTTGATGAGGTAGAATACTTACCCAACCAACTTTGTCATCACAAGAAACTGGTCTTCGACTGCATTAATGAAGTCCTCATCGAGGTTTGTGGGTACTATTTTGGTTCCCCTGGCGTGTCATTCGTTAAAACTAATATCCGTCCTCTTCCGAACATGAAAAATACCATTGAAGAGATATGGCAAAGAGTTTATTGGCACGTGCTTCCAATGCCACTGCCTCGCACTTTGGACCAGTTAGTCAGAAAAGATTTGGCCAAAACAGGAACATGGATGGATCTTAGACTTGATGCAGATTTCATCAGTGTCGAGATCGGTGAAGCCATCCTTGAAGACTTGGTCGAAGACACTATAACAAGCTACGTAAATGTAAGTCCGGAATGTGAATATCGTGCCGAAGGACTAGAAGAGTGACATCAACTTGTAAAAGGCAACCGACTGGGTTTTGTTCATACTTCATACCAATAATGCATCTCTCAATAGGTCAGGATGGGATAAAAGCAAGCTAATCAAGTCCCAACAAGCAAGAAGAGCTTCATTTAACTCTCCTTCTAAGTGTTTTGTCAGATGATGCGACACCGTTTTTGTAACCGTGTCAACCCGGAGATCATCTTACTTGTGACTTCGAAGCTTTCTGTTTCATGTTCAGAGATCCGTTGTAAAGCAAACACCAGATTTCAGAGGCCTTTATTGGTTTAGTTTAGTCAATAATACTATACTACAGTGTCATTTCTCCTGGTGCAAATTGATGAAAACTGCTATTTCTTATTGGTAGAATTTATTGAGTATGGTGTGTATTTGATTGTGTGAATGGTTTGTTCTTTGATAGATTTCATTCATTCCCAGGGTTTGGTTACTGGTTTTCTTCCTTCGTTATACCTTTGGGTATAGAATATATATATATATAGAAGAAAAAAGACATGCACGTACATGTAGAACTTATGATTGCTGAAAATAATAGGATAAACTATTCGTATGACTACTTAACTATTGTCCTTCTCCAATTTGACCACTGATTTTTTATTTTATCAATCAAACCACTTAATTATTTAAATAATTCAATCAAATTACTTGCTGTTAAAAGTTAGCGAAGGATGTGACGTGAATGTTAATAAAATTGATATAATTATACATTTAATCATCATTACTTATAATATTATATCAATTTAATCATAATTTTAAATTAATTCAATAAACTTAATCCCCAAACTATATAATGATATGTGTTGGATTGGGGGATTTCTTTTCTTATTTTTTTTGATAGGACAGATTTCTTTTCTTTTTAATTTTAACTTATTTGATTTAATTTATTTTCCTTCAATTGACGCCTGTCATCATCATCATGTTACCTAATTCATCATCATGTCATCATTTATTACCTAAATAAGTCAATTTTAGATATTTTACCTAATTCATCATGATGCCATCATGCCCATGTTACCTAAAAGGCTGTCAAATGCAAGTACAGTCCCATCATTTATTAGGAACTGTCACAACCACCATAGCCTGTGGCCGAGTCTTTATCTACCCATTGTCAGCATCTAAAACTAGTGAAATTCAAGCCATTAATGGGAAAAAAGGGCATCTGAAACTTTTTTCAAAGAGAACCATTGAAGTCAAATGTCACCTAATAACCTGCTCTAATGAAGCACCAGAGGGCATTTTCCCAAAAAAGAGGACAAAGGGAAACACATTGACCATGATAATGTAACTTCGCAAAAGAATCTTATATATAAAATACATTGAGCTGAATAACAAAAGCTCTAATTTTTCTTGATTATTTCCATTATGGAAAAGTGTTTACAAGTCATTAAATACGCTAGAAAGTTCATATCATTTTGCTACATTCAATCATTTCAAGGCCACAAATTACTTCAGTTTTTTCTTTACCTGTAATTGTGAAGTCGTCGGAACAGCTTTCTTCCTAGAAAATGCACTGCTTCTGCTATCTAAATCTTCATCACCATCATCTTCATTGACCATGTCTTGACCAGAAGGGGTGGAGTCCTGGTTCTTGGAAGCTTTTCTTTTTCCAGCACCCAACTTGGCAGATAGTTTTCTTGCGACTGGGTCATTAGAGAGTTGAACTTTTGATTGGCGTGGAACCTTTGCTCCAAGTCCAAGCCTGTTAAAAACCTATCAGAATGGTGTATGAATAAATGACAGATATGGTAGAAATAGTCACACTGACCTCTCTGGCCGTGCCTCTGGTTCTACTTCCACTACTTCATCTTGTCCAGATCCATTCATTTTATTTAGCCATTGTTCAGCCTGCACATCACTCGTGTCAATAAATAAACTATTAAACTGGTCAGTGGTTCCCAAGAAGAAAGAACAATCTATGACTCTGAACTTGAGTGCATGAGACACAAGGTACAAAAAGAGCGGACACTTGAGTGCACTGCAGTATGCGTATTTAAGTCTTTTTGTATGCAAACTTATACATAAAAATGGAATAAGATTAAGATGAATAATTATGAAAATAAACTATAAATAGTAACCCAATTAAATCCCACAAAACATGCTAAAAATTTTCATTTTCTTTTTTTTGGCCAATATGCAAGATTTTATCATGATCCCAATATTGAGAAGTAAAGAATTTGATATTATCTCCTTTCTTACTAGTGAAAATACAATAATAGAAAACATATATGCAACCTATACAATTATCTCCTTTCTTCCCATATACCTATCATCTTACCAAAAGAGTGCATTATCAAATGCAACCCATCCGAAAAGGGCCAAGTGCAATGCCTAACTGCATCTAGGTGCATTAAGCCATTAACAACACTGATCATGCCACAATTACAAGCAAATCTGTTTTCTTTATCATTATTTTAACATCTACAAGTAGAAACTATGATCATAATCAAACAATCCTCAATAAATACATCAAATTATTACAATCAGTAACCAAATCTCATTCAAACATGAATAATATAACCAAATCTCGACATCTCCATGTCATATACGAGTAACGAAGCACTATATTTCTTTTCGAGTACCATACAAAGCCAACTGTTCAGACCCAAACACTGGGGAAAAAATTCTTTTATTAAGCTAATCACCAAAGATAATTTAATCAACGATGAATAAGACTTTAACATAGTGAAAAGTAGACACCCAGATCACCATTCATGACCAGTTTACCAAAACCATGAAACTTTATCAATACCATTACGATTAAAAGCGAAAGAGAAAGATAAATTTACCAATTTCGATGCGTTATTAAGCGTAACTATTTTAGGAGGCCCAGATTTCTTTGTCCTATCCGTGGCCATTGATCTATATTACATGAACTCGGCGGCGCTTTAAAATGGCGGAGGAGGAGCTCGCCCGGTACTGGCAATCGACAGCTTGAAGCCCGGAAGATGAGGAAGAACGAAGAGAGGGAAGGCTGAAGTGAATTGATTAGGGTTGTTCTTTGAATTTCAATTTGTTTTACAAACTTTTAGCCCAAAAAAGAACAATACAGTAACTATGTATTAGGCTCTATTGGGCTTTTGTTTTATCATAGGATAAATATATATTTTGGTACACGGACTTGGCTTCGATGTTCAATTTGGCACCTAAACTTCTTTTATTCAATTAGATACTTTAATTTAGTTTATGGGTTCAAATTGGTATCTGAAATTGGTTTTCATTTCAAATCGGTACTTGCAGTTTTAATTAATGGAATAAAGAAGTCAAGTTCATGTACTAATTTGAACCGGAAAGCCAAATTTAAGTACCTAATTAGATTTTAAAAAAAATATTATGTGCTAAATTGAAACTTCAAACTAAGTTCAGATACCAAAATATATATTGACCTCCTATCATATTAACTTCAATTTTTGGTTTTGACATTAATCAATATATTTACCAATTGTGTTTTAAGAATTATGATTTTTAGTTTAAATTCATAGATCCTTTTAAATTTTAAATGCAGTTGGTTTGCATGTTTATTTTTATTTATGCTAATGGTAATTAATTTTTTTTGTTTTCACTCTGATCACTGAAATCTCAAAACTTTTTCTTAAAGTCATTGTTAATAATTTTTCCCCTTTCGATCATTGGGCCCTTAAAAAGGGTTAACGAAGCCCAACATTACATACCACATTTCATTTTTCTTTAACAAATCAGTACCTTCAAGATGATGATACCATATCACTACTTTATTGATAAGAAATTAAGAAAAAGAAATGAGATTGTAATGGATCAAACCTAAGATCTTGGGAAAAGGTTTTCAACACCAAATCATTAGGTTAAATATGAAATATTGTTATGTTTAAGTAAAATATTATATCTAGGTTATAGTGTGGCAAAAAAAAAATTATGAAAAGATTTTACCGTGGACCAGACCTATGACTTCAAGGGTGTGTACAGTGCCTAATCACTAAAATAAGCAAGATCCCCCCCCCCAAAGACCTAGGTTTGATTTGATCCACCACAATCTTATTTTATAATTTCTATTATTATTATAGTGACATGCGTTATCACCTTAGTGAATGTATTAATTTATTAAAAAAAGACATATAAGTATATTTTTCTCAGCTGTTATTGACGTATGAGCATGCCACCTCAGTTGTTTTTGACGGTCCTATGACTGAAATAACTTTTTTATTAACAATGATTTTAATGATTTTTATTTTATTTTAGTGACTAACATGAAAACACTCTAAATTTTAGTGGCCACTAGTGTAGTTTACCCTTCTTTATATTAATAGGTTTAATAAAAAGGACAAAGGGCTTCCTTTGGATGAAATGGTCTAATTGGTTTTGAGCCCTTCTTACAAAAAAGTAATGCAATTTAGTAATTTAAGAATAAATGTTCTGACTTTAACCCTGATAATTTATATTTTCATCCCAACCCTGATAGTCATTTTCCCCTTCAGATACCTAAAGTTTTTTATTTATCAAAATAAGTACGCAGAGTTTTATTTCGTTACACTTTTTTAGTGTCTCTGTTAACAAAAGTTAACTAGTCATATTATGACACGAAATCTAACTATGTACGAATCGACACCCATTGTTCTTTATCCAACTGGATTTATTTTATTATCCTAAAATTTGGTGTCAAAAATGGGGCAAACGACTTTTCATCCTCCATTGTTAGGCAAAAAAGACCAGTGTTCCAGTAAACAAAAAACAAAAACAGACAATATCCCACCAATAATATCAACATTAAATCATCATTTGCATCAATTATATATATTCCTTTTGAAGACACTAGGTATAAAAGAATTGTGATTCCTATGCCTCTGACCTGCCAAAAACAACAACTAGTTCCAAAATCAGACCGAGTTAACAAGGATGAAGAGAGAATTACCCCACCTGCATGCACCAAAGCTTTCATTGGCTCTTAGGTTTTTGTATCTTGACATAAGGGAAAACACCCAAGAAGTGAACGACTTTTGGATCCCATTCCCGTTGCTGGGCGCGACAAAACATCAGGAACGTGTTGGCAAAATACGAATTGAAGCCCATGAGGATGTGCCATAAAGCATGACCCTGGGGGTTTAAGTACCAATGAGATATCTCCTTGCAGAACACCTTGTCAGATAGCCAACAAAGACTCGCCAGGAACAAAGTTGCTACGTATAACTTCGCCAGTCGCTTTGCATTGATGTCTTTAGTGTAGATGTAGTATTTGTATGCGCGAGGGATGCAGATGAGGCAGAGAATGACATAATGCACCTTGAAGCCAAATCCAAAGCGGAAGACAGCATGGACCACTGCATACAAAACTCCATAAAAGAACAGGAAAGTAGGCATTGTACTCCGATAGTGCCAATCGGGTGAGTAGAGGATGTAAAAGTATAGAAGCATTTCCCACACCATTGGTGTTTCATCACCTTGCTGTTGCCTGAAAATAAATAAAAAATTTCAGATTTCAAATCAAATTAGCAAAAATATATCATGAGCAATGTTTTCTCAAGTTCACTTTCTGTAGATACTGGCTTTGCATCCAGAGTAAAAGCTTTAAGCCAAAATAAGAAACCAAACGTCGAAGAAAAGAAATTGTTAATTTGCTGAGTTAAATTCATGCCAATAGAATATTAACACCTTCCAAAATTAGCAAATTAAAAAAAGAAGCAGCTTTATGCGTACTTCTTTTACTAAGGAGACAGGAGTTGAACATTTCTACCGAATTCCAAAATTACGCATAAATTAAACAAGTACACATAAATTCATGCCAACAGAAGCACACATAAATTCATGCTTCTTAGTAAAAGAAGTACAAATAAATTTATGCCAACAGAATACTAACACCTTCCATTAGCCATTTATCCAATACATCTCCTTGAAAAGATGTGCTAAAAGAACTGTAAATGTAAGGAAGTCATACAGTTGGAAGCAAACAAAAAAAAGGAAGCTTTATGCGTTCTTCTTTTACTAAGAAGGAGACAGGAGTTGAACATTTCTATCGACGTCCAAAATTACATTAAGTGTAATACGAGAAAGAATGCTTATTTTATTTTATTTTCGGTCAGGGGGACTAACTGTTTTGTTGGTTAGTTGTGGTGTCAGCCTGCTGTTGCAAGTAAAATAACTAACTCCAAAGCCCAATCAAATAATAAACAAATAGATTTCAAACAGACATGGTAACAATATCTCCTAAAATTGAATGTTTGTCAGAAACATTCATCTAATATCTGAAGCTTTCGGGGGAATGATAATGGAAGTGTAAGAAGTGAAAAAACACTTACATGCGCTGTAATGTGGCATGGTATATCATGCTCCCAATGGCAAGTATCATGTTAGATATGTGAAGAACACTAAACCTCTTCTCGAATCGTTGTCTCAAGGCATTTACAAGGCCAATGAGTGCCAAAAGAATGCCTGGGACATTGGATATTGTGTTAAAAAACTCAGCAATGTAAGACGAGTGAACATAGTTTTTCTCACACCAGTCAGTGGATGTGACAGGACCCCAAAAGCTTGACAATCCATCTTCCATTTTATACTGAATATTGCAAAAATATAGGAATCTTCAACTAAGGCACCTTTTGTAAAAATGTTTTGCAACTATCACAAACCCTGCAACTAATGTCCAAGAGAACGAAGACCGTGAGATCCCATAAAAATGACAACCATATAAACAAGAACCATGTGTAGCTGATAGATGTCCTTTGTATCAATACAAGAAAATACAGACACTAATTAAAAGACAAATGCCAAAATACATTAAACTACAACATATGCACACCAATTGAGATGGGCACATAAAGCAAACCCTTTTACTAGTTGGTCAAAGGACCAAGACACTTGGGCAACCAGCATAGCCAAAAAGGGGGGGGGGGAATAAGAATAGCAAGAATGAAAGCAGTTGATATCCTAGGACCTAGCTTTTACTATCATAAGAAATTCTTTGACATGAGCTTATGCAGAAACTCCACATCAAGGGACTTGAAAAATCATTTACGTAAGCTATATTCCAGATTCCCTGAATTTATCCGATGCAATTTTCCAGTTATTCATGTATTTGAACCCCTTTTCAACTTATCGAATGGCAGACTCTTTCGATTTAAAGAAATCACCAACACACTTGTGTCCAAAGGAAGGTGTAGATCTAGAGAATAAGTCAAAAACAGCAACCCGGAATAACTACCTAGAATCCAAGTAAAACTCCAATTAACCTAGAATCCAAGGACACTATTTTAACTAAGTTTCTAGCTGTCCATCTCTATTTAAGTCCACTGATCTCTCTCCAATAGAAGACGACTTCACACTCCAGTGCTGTTTATCGAACTAAAGGTAAAACTATTTATTCTCCCTATAAAATTTTCTGAAGATGGAATGAACAATAAAATCATTTTATTTCAATGTCCTCTCCTGTATCACTATCTAATATGGAAGGAGTGACATCATGCAGCAATAAGCTACAATAGCACATTCCAGACGATCTAGACAATGCGGCCCATAAACATACTCCTATGAGCCTACAAGCACATCAATCTTATCAAATTCAGTAAACTAATAATACTACAACAGCAACAGAAACTGCAGCTAACTTTAGTTCAAGGGTCCCATGTGAATGCTGAGAAATAGGTAATTAACTAATCAATCCAATTACCTATTTGAACCGATTTATTCTAAAAATTTAACAGCCTCTTACTCTAGTTAAAGAGTTCCGAAGTGAATCCTGAGATTGAGGTACCAGAAAGAATCACCACCTATCCGATCCTGTCTATTCTAAAAATTAACTCAAAGAATATGATACATTAAACCTCCAGAAAATAAGATAATTAACTAATCAATCCATTTACAGACCGAAATCCCATTTAACCACTTTTGAACCTCCCTTAAACCCATTGTACCAAAAGAATCTGGCCAATGCTATATTCTTAAAGACCCAGCACCCTAATTTCCATCCAATCCTCAACCAAAGCCTTGTGTCTAAGTTCAAACTGCCCTCAGCATACTGAATATCTCATTAGAAGACACCCCTCACCCCCAAAATAACAATAATAAAAAAATCCAAACT